GAATGTAATGACTGTTACAATATTTAACAGTTGCTAATTTAATTTTATCTAAAATTCTTAAGCTGCCTTCCTTCTGTTTCTATCTATTATTCATTAAATGCTTGTTTGAAAATCTCCTGCTAAACTGTGATTCAGAAATACCATGTTTGAAATCAAGGGATATTCCCAACAGAATGAAAACCTGCTCATGCTAATGAAATTTGTCAGAGTAGGGCAGGGACAGATAGCAGCTTTTACTCTGCTGCTTTGGGGTGGGGGCAGAGACAAAGAGCTCAGACATACCAACATGATTGCCACTAGCAGGAGTCTGGAGATCCATTACCATAGATAACGGCAATACTCTGTGCAGATGTTTGCAGAATACACAGCTGCCCTCTTTGGGGAGGCAGCACCCTCCCCTTCAGCTTTGCAGAAATCTTCACACACAACACTGCTCTCATGTTGTGGAGGTTCTGAAGAACTACCTACTTGGCTGCCTGCTAGACAGTTGATAATATTCAGAAATATTGGATATTAGATAATAAATAGAAATATTTTGGGATTACATCCCAGCCTTTTTTGAATGAATTGTGGCTCCACATCTTGCAGCCCACGGCCCAGCTGTGCCCTAGTAAGGCAGCTCAGAGCCCTGCAGAGGGGCAGGATTGTGCTGAGACATCCCCTCGCTGCGGGAGCTGTGGAGGAACTGAAGAGAGAGCAGCTGAGGGTGCCCATTCCCTTGGGCTCCCCACAGTGCCAGGGAGAGCTGCCCCAGCTGGCCTTGCTGCAGTGGGTGCACAAGACCGAGGGAAGGGATGGTCATTTCGTACCCCATAGCACTGGAGGGTCCTGGGAGACTAGAGTAGAGGGAGTTTGTGGTTCTTGGGAGCAGTCAGGTGGTGATGCAACTCAAAGAGTAAAAACCAGGCAGTTTATGCCACACAGGGGCCGTGTGTTCACCCGTGGACAAGCAGATTTGCCATGAAGGTCTGTGCAGGGAAGCAAGGCCCACTGGTATCTGCTATGCAATTTACATGGTCTTTGTCCTGGTGTGTTTATCCAAACATTCAGTTCCTGAGTAATCACTACTTAGGACTTAAAAGCATTACAAATGGCCTCTGATCAATCTCTTAATTATCAATTATTATCATTATCTTCCCTCTTAGACAGAATAAAAGCTACTCTTCCATGAGGCATTTAAAGACCGTATGTGCAGAAATACCAGGAGGGCCTGGTATAAACATAGTGACAATGCACAGATGAAAATTAAATGTCTCATCATGTTTGGAATCGATCTAAATCAACACAGCACTCAAAATGCCAAGAGCTCCCATGGCTCCTTACTACAAGGCTGCCACCAGCAGCTAAAAAGAATCAGTGAAATGTTTGAAAAATATATATATTCTGCAGGGACATGCTCCAAATATTAAGAATGAAAACACTTGTTTTAATAGCTCTTCATCCAAATTTATGCTTATTTAAAAATAAGTCACATTCAATGTGAATCAGGACCACATTTAGAACCTATACTGCTGTTGTTACAGAAGCAAGGTACAGCAGCAGAGTCTTTTGTTTATTTATTTATTACTAGACAAACTATTACAGTTGGAAAACCATCCAAGTTTCAGGAAAGTAAATCCTACTTCAGCACTCATTGCTATCATATTGCCAGAGGGACATCTCTGTGGACACTGCTCAAATGAAACTGCTCAAAAGTCTGTTGTTGGTTTAATTCTGTTTAGACCGGAAATTAGACTTTAAAAACAATTAGACACACTTAGACACCTTGCAATCTATTCAAAACCTAACAGAGAGGCTAACTTCACATTTTACATCAAGGCCTTTTTCTTTATCAGGTTTTGCTGAAAGATATATTTTTTTTCATGATGATTACTTCTAAAGTTACATTTAGCAACATATAAAAGAATGCATTAAATCAGAATTTTCCCATTACATTCATATTTCCCACAAATACTTCCTAAAGAAAATTAGAAAGAAATGAAAGAAATTTTACTGACCAAAGCATTTATTTTTATTGAAAGTAACTTTTCACTTTCGGCTATTAAAGAATGAATAATGTTCCCCCTTGAGTTTAGAGTTAGCATTTGAGCATGATGAGTCAGTCAGCAGGAGAATGAGCTATCACAGCTGGCAGCCCTGGGACATCCATCACGCTCTGTGCCCATCCTGGTCTATGCCACACAATGCTGCTTTGAAATGCATTGCTCTCAGCAGTGAAAATGTTTTCTGACTCTTCCTCCCCCCCCTAACTTAAACCTAAAATAAATCAGGTCTTTGTATTGCTGTATTGCTCCAAAATCCAATCTTTTCAAATTAAATGGAAAGAATCTTTACCTTTTTTTTTTTTTTTTTTTTTTTGTTCCATTTAAACTGACTTAAAGGCTCTTCTCCATTTCACATTTTTAGTTATTTCTCCCCTTCATCTGTATTCCTCACTATACACCATTTCTTCCTATTTTCCTTATTCCAGTCACTTCCATCTAGTATCCTGCTAGTATCCAATCTAGTATCCAATGTTACTATTGCCTGAAGAGAATAACTTTGGCAGGATGTATAACTGTAGCAACAGAGCATAAATGGCACTGGATGTCTGCCTTCACTAAAGCCAAACAGGGAGCACAGACACGGCCTGACATTCCCTTAGTTTACTGATAAGGGAAAAGCTGGGCTTAGTGGCTGAGGACAGGAATGCAGTTAGGTTAAGATGCTTAACACTGCCCCTGAAACCCACAGTTCGATGTCTGTGTTTCCTCCAGACAGCACAGTGCAATTCTTTTGCCAGAAATCAGTGTATTACACATGGATAGGAGGTAAATGGGATTTAAGAATATGACGATGTGTGCGACGTGTGCGCATGTTCTCTAAAAGATTAAAGGGTGCAGCTGAAAGCTGAATATAAATACATGAAATGGAATATTAAAAAACCCCTGCCATTTTGTGTTTGCATGTTTCTAATGGGCGAGGTTTGTGCAGACATCTGAAGGGCCGGTCGTGTTTCACTCCCTTTGCTCCCGCTGCACCAACACCTGAAACGCTGCAGAGGAGCTCTTGTGCCATCTCCTGGTTACTCCGAGGCTTCACAGCCAGAAGGCTGCTACAGAAAGGAAGGGAAGCAGCTGAAGTTTAGCTGAGGCAGTGATAGAATCAGGGCATCATTCAGGTTGGAGAAAACCTCTAAGACCATCGAGTCCAGCCCCTAATCCAAGTTCATCACTAAACCATGTGTTTAGTGAGTGCCACATGTACACAGGAACACTCCTGGGATGGTCACTCAGTTTTTGGCAGCTAAAACAACTCACCCAGCACGACAGGCTCAGCCTCTAACCCTCTGCTGCTGCTTTTAGCACCAAGTCATTTTCCACTGCATCAGCTTTAGGATAGAACGGAAATTCAGCTGCCCTCTATAACATCTTTGACATCAGTTCTAGCAACTCATGCCACAGCATCACCTACTTTTGGTGTGTATCAGTGGAAGAATGCAAATAAACCCCTGAAAATTGAAGTGACTGGAATACAATTAAATTACTAATCAAATCAATATAATTCCCTGATTGCAGCAAGTATCTGAATTAGTGTCCAATTTACTTTCCTGAAGATCCCTACTGAGTCCCTCTCCCTTCACAGGAACAAGAGGACCTGTGAATTTATGACAGTTTTATCTCACTTGCTCTTAAAAATTCACAGGAAAGCAGATCTTAGAGGTGTGTTACAGATGAGGGATCTATTCCAGTGCTTCACAGAAAGCTTTTCACGTAAAAAACTGAAACAAAACCAACCTTGTTTCAAAATCAAGTGCTTAAGCTTCACAGTACACAAAAAAAACCCTCACCCTGCAGCTACTACAATTTTTTACAACAACATTTCACATTCGCAGGTCTGCTCAATCCAATCTTGTCTATGTAAGTCCACTTCTTTCAGTCTTTCTCACTTCATGTTTCAAAACATATACTTATTGTGGTCCTCTACTCTCATTTTGGGTGTATGCATCCCTAGCTGCAGTGCCTAAATGGTAAAGTATTCCTGCTGATGCTTCTCTATTGCCAAACAGAGCAAAATAATGACCTTGTGCAGCTCTCATGCTAACACCTCAGGTCTTCTCCCCCCACCTTCTTCTTTTCTTTTTGCAAACTGTACACATGGATTCATATTCAGCTTGTGATCTATTACGGTCCCCAGAGATTTTTACTGAAGCTCTGCAGTTATTTTTCATTTAATATTTATCCTTCAAAACCGTAAGACTTGAAGCTGAAACCTCAACTGTTATCATGCTTATTGTGAGCTCTAAGCTTGTGTAAGTGTGCTTTTCCAAGTAAAATTCACAGACATTCCAACACATTCCATACAGTGTAGGCTGTGAGAAGACTGCCTTATGGTAATCCTGGAGAGTTTGCCTCCCTCACTGGAGTCTGCAGAGTCCCAGGCAGGTCTTATCTTGTTGTTACTGTGATAGTTCCCTTCTTCCCAGCGGGTGTGTTGAGAACAGAGCATGTTTTACCTCATTACTGTAAGCCAGAACAGTTTGCTTCCCCCCATCTGCACGGCTGCCAAGGTGAAGGCCATCGGCAGATCTTGGAATTCAAACAGCAGCACCTGCATTACATGGGGCAGCTAATGAGCAAAAGAGGACATTGCATATGTATGAAATGTTAATTAGTGCAGATCCCTTTACTCACCCCCACAGCACTTTCCCTGGAGCTTCACTCCTGAGAGGGCTCCAGTGCATTGGGTCCTCATTTGATTGATGCTCCAGGATTCCCACTGTAGGAATGCTACACTTCTGATAAAGCCAAAACTCTCTCATTTTGTGCCTTCTCCCTGAGGGATCTGCACCTGCTTTTCACTCATAACATCTGGATAGTCCTAACCCCACTCAATTCACTTTCACAATTTAACAAACATGTTAATTACCCTTTGAAACAATGCATTAACTAGTTGTGTATTCACCTTAGAGGTGCATCATCTGAATCTGAGTGAGCAAATATATAATCAGGCCAGGAGGATCTATTGCCAAGGCATTTATTGACTTCAACATACAACATGCAGTTTTTATCTCTTGGGACAGTTTCCATTAGGTCATGTAAAAATTACTTAATGGACAAAAACATGTCAGCCTTTTAAATTAGTCTCTATGCTTGCCAACTTTCGGACAGCTTTTCCAGTAACTCTTCTAGTGCCAAAACTTTCCTGGCTGATTCTCTGTCATTCTCTTTACTTTGTGTTTCCACTCATTCCTGTGGATTTACCCATTTTTAAAAACTACTGTTATTTTCTGGGAACTCACTCATTCTTCCTCCATCAAAAATACAGTAATTCCAATATTACTTCAGTTTTCCTCATTATCATAGAACAGAATTAATCAGAAGTTAATGCTATGATACCTCTAATTAGTTTGATGTCTTCTGACCTGCATTCATGGTTAACTTTGATCATGACATGCATTGTTTAGAGGGGAGGCAGTGGAACAGAAAGCACTCCAGGCTTTTGCACCATCTGATACCTCTTCTGGTAACCAGAGAGCTCTTATTGTATAACAGAAAAATACTTAAAAATCCATTTTTATTGTTTTGCTTTTCCCTTGCTGACAGATTTTTTTTGTCTGTCCAGTTTTGTTCCTAACCTGCTGCGCTGTTCTTTTGTATTTGTTCATGGTAATGTAGATGTCTTATTTTTTTTTTTCCAGTATTCTTTTTTTATTTTTTTTCAGGTAATTCATGAGCCCCTAATGCAGCCAAAGTGCTCTCTGAGTTTTCTTTCCTTTGCATGTGGATAGACTGTTAAAATATGACCTTAGAAACTCTTCTTAGAAACTTTCAGCTCTCTTGAATTTTTCTTTGTGTTTTAATTCCTTCCCCAGGACCTCATGCACCAATTCCTTGAGTTTGTTGAAGTTTGCTTTTTTGAAGCCTAGTGTTACTATTCTGCTTCTTTCATCTCTTTCTTTCCTTTGAATCATGAACTCTGTTGTCTCATTGATTGCTTTCCACATGCAGATATTCAACAGTTTATGTATTCAACACTGTAAAATCTTAAACAGTAAGATTATTCCCTATGGTTCCAGCACTAGCTTATATACACAAAGCTGTATCTGAAGCGTGCTCACGCTGGGCTCAGAGCAAGTCATGTCCTGGCTGTCATCAGAGGGATAAGAAGGTGGCATGAGTTGGGATGTGAGCACAGTGTACTTCAATACATCCTCCAGTCTGGAGAAACAACGAATGAAAGACTACTGGTGACATTTCAAAATACATCATCCTCACAAGTTTTAGATGCAGCCCAGGGTATTAAATATTTCATCAGCTTAGTTGATCAAACATCAAAACTTAGTTGTTTGTTACTCTGTTAAGTTCTCCACATCTTTCTCCAGGTTTCAGTCCATTACCTTTTATTTAAATAAACTTATTTGGGAGATTTTGTGTTCCCAACAATGGTCTTTAACACAATTATCCAATCTTTGACCTGCAGTTTACCTTCATGGAGAAAAGCTAGTTTGCTCATATCTGTGGATCTGTACTCTCACCTCAGGAGTCATCTGTTCTTTTCCATCTTTTATTTTCAAGTCCTTTGCCCTTTCAGTTCCTTCCATCAAGAGAATGAGAACCATGAGCTATCTTGAAGAGATATCAAGACACTTCTTTCCCCAGAAGAAGTGATTTTATTTTCCCTTTTCCCCAGAAAACCCTGTAATCCTAATCTATGACTGTGCAGATTATTATCCTGGAATTTTGCTATTTAGGTGAATAATTTACTACTGTTACTGTTTATGAATTTTATCACATATGACAGCAAATAAGCATCTAATTGCACAGTTGTTGTCATTCATTGATAGATCAAAAACAGCCACATTAAAAGTTTCTTCAGACTTGGTTGCTGCAGGAATTTTCAAACAGGAATTCAACAGGTAAAATTGTTCATTCTCACATGTATTTTACAGGGCTATCAGAATATGAACCTTAAAATTCTCCAATGGAATATTCCATCACAAATTAGTAATTTATTGGTACATAAAAATTACAAGTTCCCTTGGGGGGAAAAAATCCCCCAAAACACCTTTATAGTCCAAACTGTAGTGAGGGCAGTGTCTTTTACCTATAGTAACTTAAGGAAAAAAACTTTCATAGGTGAAGAATCTCCTAACCAGTCAAATGCCAAAGATGACTCATCAACTAAGTTTGATTCACAGGACTTTAGTTTTCAAATATTTTTCAAACCTGTATTTCCAGTGCTTTGAGGGTCTGTCAAAGCTCAGCATACATTTAAAACTCATTATTTATAAAGCGTATTTTGAGGAAAAAAAAGACTTTCTGAAAAAAGAAAAAGCTAGCTCTAAACAGAACACTTGAAATTTAAAGAAGGTTATGCTTTGGATGGTATTTAAGCAAGTATGAGGGAGAAAATTAATTTATCTGCACTCTTTCCACCATTATGATATCAAAGATTGAAACAATCAGCTGCATATTTAACACTGAAAAAACTGATGGCTTCCACCCCTTTCCAACTGTAGTTTATATATTTCTTTAATTTACAAACTTTCCTCAAGTTTTAATCCTTTGCAAATCACATTGACTACTCACAGAAATGATGAGTCTCAGCAATGCTTATGAAAACAATCCAATACACAAAGCAAAGTCTAGAAGTGGTTGAAAATTTTCAAAGGAAAGGAATTTGTCAGAATCATGAACCAGTGTTGATTCATTAATTATGTCCCAGCTCCTTGGTTTGGGATTCTACAGAGTGGTTCATAGGATGAATTGAACCCCATCCCTGTTTCCAGGCTTCTGGAGGTGTTGGAGCTGGGAACCTGATCGCTAACGGAGCTGGTGGAAGAAGGAAGGACACGCTTCCCAGCTCTCTCCTAACAGGAGTGAAAACCCCAGGGATCCTGGGAGCAAACATCTGCTGAGGGCACCAATACGCAAAGCACCTGGAAAGTCTCCCAAGGAACAGACTTCATTTCAGAAGTCTATGGGTCACTGCTTGAAAAACAAACAAACAAAAGCAAGATGAGGGGAATGTGGAAAAAATGAGGAAGAGCTAGGACAGCTGGTAGCAATTGTGACTTAAAGAACAAGCTCATGTTTTTTTCCCCAAAAAATTCTAGTTTGGTATTGAAACAGAAGCACAGGGCCAGACTGCAAAGACCCTCACTTATGCAGTACAATTACTGATGCCAATAGTATTCTGCCAACATTCATAAAAATGAACATATTTCTTTGATATCTTCTGTCCCTTCTTTTTTATTAAAGGACATTCCCCACAAAGAGAGAAAACTTTAGCTCAACCCTTACTGCTTGTAAGTCATAAATAAGCAGCACAGTTATATGCTAGATGTAACTTTCTTCTGAAATCTGTGTCATATAAGATACACATACCTCAGTGTTAATGGACAAAACCAAACCAGTTTCCTTGTGAAGGAGTGGATTTTCTTTTTCATTAGCTGTTAACATTTGTTGCTGTTGTTGTTGTGGGGCGGTGCCTAAACACAAAATCTGAAATGTCTAATTGATGGAAACACCCCAAAGTAGTACCATAACTCAATACTATGAATTAATACCAATATAAGGTTTGGTACACTGAAGCACTTACAGAAGACATGAGCTGATTTTTAAAATCTTGTATAGCACCAGTTATCATCAAAGAATAAGCAATATTTTCTAGATGCAACAACACAGAACTAAGAAATACATGAGCTAATTCTCATGAGTGCAAAATACAAATGATAAGAAAGTTCGCAAAAGCAATTTCCAAAGTCTGATAGGTAACTGTATAAAATGGATTTATTAAGATCATGTGGTTAGCAATTCTTGTGGATTACTTTACATTAGTAAAATTTAATGCTACTTCAAATTTTACTGTCGTTCAAAGATAAGGTGTGGGTGTAAGTGAATGGTAATTTTTAATTGACAAAACCCCAAATAACTACTAACAAAACCAATTATTTAAAATAAATGCGTACAGATAAAATACATGAAATGTATGTCTGAAGATAACGCTATCATTAACATTCTTAAATCATAAAGACAGAAGGGGTAAATATTACATGTTTTCACATTTGTCAATTCTTAGAGAAATAGCAACTTTATTTACTTTCCTAAGGGTAAGTCAGAATACTATGATTAATGACATGTTAAACCTACATATGGTAAATAAAATAAATCATATTAGAAGTAGTAAAAAAGCAAGCAAACCCTGTTGAGGACTGAGCTCTTCAGTGTTTAAACCAATAAGAGCCAAAAGTTAGCAGTACTGTATTAGTAGGAAAAAGTAACTGAGTATTTAAAGGAAAGTATGGACACACCTTGTTTTTACTGAGGAAGATGAGAGAGGGTTGAGATGTAATATTGCTGTTACTGACAAGAGAAAAGGAGAAGCCTTCCTCTTATACACTGAGAAAGCTACAGTTCAGCATGTGCACATGCATTTCTGTCAAACACAACAGTACCACTGCAAAACACCAGACATGTACACACTTCCATTTCATACATCTTTATCCTTCTCCATCACTAACACTTGATGAGATACTTAGTTCACATCTGCCCTTCACTTCTCTCAGAAAATTTTCTTATTATTTTTTTTTAGTTATAAGCAAATAATTTCAGAACAGTGCTTAAATGTTTCTTGCCCTACCCTGCATCTCCTTCAACACTACCATTGCTCCCTCTGGTAGAAATACTTGCATTTTTAACTCATTTGTATCCTTAACATTCTGGCCTTGCATAAACCTGAGTAGCTCAATACATTTTCTAGCAATAGCAACACATTTCATGGCCATTTAGAAGGTCTTGTAAATATAAGCTCTATGAACAGGCTAGCACCACAGTTTTACAAGTTGCAGATCCAAATTTCACATGGTTATCTTCTATTGGATGCTGCAGGAGCACTGTGATCTACAAAAACAGCCTCAGGAGCAAAAGCCATACTCAAATGTGCACACATACAGATAGACATAAATTGGCAAAGTGACTCTTGTGCCAAATACAGATAAAAAAAGCAATTTCACATTTACTGTCTTCACAATGCTGGGAGTGCAGAAGCAGGGCAATGAATTGGTAATACTTACATTCAGATCTTACTTTCATTTGGAACACAGGTTAGTCTGATGACTTTAAAATCAAACTAAAAAAAAAAGTTGAAGGATAGCATTCCTCTCCTTCCTTGTTAGGAGAAACAGACAGCCAATTATTTATGTCAGTTACAGTTTTCATAATATACAACATGAAAGCAGGACACACCAACAGTCAATGAATAGCAGAGGATCTATGTTTCTGAATTATATGCACAATGTAACAGGATATAAGTGTACTGTGTTTATATAAAAATAAATTCAACATTTAATGAACTAGGTTTTGAACTCTCCTAGGCCAGCTTGGCAACAGAAGCTGGAAGTTTAACTTCTCTTCCACAGTGTTTTTCAGATATTGGTTTTCAGGCTAATTAATTATTTATGCTAAAGAAGAGTAACAAAATTAATAAGCCTTTTCATCTATACTCTAATTTTCTCTCTCTTTTTCTTCTTTTGATCTGCCACCCAGTTGCCAGTGATTCAAATCCCATTAGTCAGCATTTTATAATTCCATGTTAAGAAATATAATAATTCAACTTGAGACAGTATCTTATGTTGCTTCTATTTGCTTGGAAATAGGTCCAGTAGATGGAGTCAGCTTAATCCAGTTTTACAGTCTAGACCCAGAATAGAACAGCTGAAACATAAATAATTACTGAAATGTTGCTTTCATCCTGCGTAGTGTGTCCTGAATTTTTCGAGAATGTTTTTCTGCTGGTATCTGATGGAAGTTGGCACAGTTGTCAGCTGCCAAGGCAGAAATGTCTGCATCTTTAAAACGAGTTACTCTTTGTCTGAGGTAAGACTGCAGCTTGAAATCTGGTGCATAGGTATAAGGATTCTCTTGAAAGGCATGAACTTGGCTCACAACTTTTGCAATGTTTCTTGTAAGAGAATATCATAAAAAAGATTAGTTTGTTTTGCTGATAATAAAAACAAAAGCATAAACCAAAAAACAAACCTTAAAGGAAATTCAAAGGCATCAAGCATTTTATTCTATTGTAAATGTACCTCTAGTTACATGTCTAAACAAATTAAACTATTTTAACTGTTAATTGTGAAATGCTGCATTAGCTCTCATTATCTCATTAGACAACAGTATAATAAAAAATATAAGTGATATACACACATAATTAAAATAATTACCTAAGTTTAGTCCACTTGTGAGCTCCATTTGTCATTGTGAATCCTCCAGTTTCAAGCTGTTGGACATGCATAGCCAAAACATGGGCTGATGGAATTGTTGGAAGAGTTTTGAATCTGTCTCCTTCCATCAGACATAAGCTGTCACTTTTTAAAAACACCTAGTTAAAAAATACACACAGATTAATCTCACATTAAGTCTTGGGGAAGGTTTTTACAAGTTCTCCATGTATTTAACACCATCTATTTATTTGTCATGAATATTAACTTTTAGCACTGAAGCTGAAGACAACACTATGGATTCATCTGGCGGCAAACTTTTTAAAGTACACAAAATAATTTTAATCAAAAGACATTTCATACATAATTTCAGTTGGTCTAAATCACAGGCAAAACTGCATTTCTATAATAAAATAGGCATTTAAGATTTTTCAGAATACATTACAGCTGCAAAGCTTCTGCAGAAATCTTCTAAGGCAATGTAGCACATCTAATGTTTTAGCTTGCTTTTGTAATACTGATTTGTCACACAGGACACATGTTGAAGAAATACTGACATTAAAATTTATGTAAACTCTTGGATTAGGAGTAAAAAGTCTTCAATCAAATTAAACTCATAATTAAAAGTAACAATTGTGGTTTTCATCCTGCAGAGACACCCATTTAAGCAGATCTTGCACCTTCTCTAACCCTGAAGATGTAATTTTGCATTAAGTATTTTATACTTACCTCAACAGCCTTGAGTTCCTCCATTATCTCAGCTACTTTTGCAGGTAGAATTTTCCAGGCCTTACAATAAAACAGAATATATTTTTTTCATATTAATGTCTATATTGGAACAAGATTCTATTAAGCAAAATGGTTAGAGAACAGAGTCCCAACTTACTGGCAACTGTCGTACAATAAGATTTTCCAAGCCTGCTAGGATTTGCATTGCAGTAGCAAAATTCCTTTGTTCATAGCAGCATTTTGCTATAAGAAGAAATTTTGATAACAAGCTCACCTGCCTCTGAAAAAAAAATTAAGATTTATATACATACATATATATACATAGTAAATCTACACAATAAAATGAAATGAGAAGGGAGAAGAGGTATTTCCTTTCTCAATTTGTTATCAAAATTGCTGACTGTACTAACATCTCCCTTCACACAGTTTTTCCCTTCCTGTCACCTTGATAAAAGCTTGACCCCTATTCCCCTCAGACAATTAATTTCTTACATTCTGTTAGGTTTTGACACCTGCTACTAAAAAGCATCCAAGATTTTCCTTGTGACAACAAACCAAATTGTTAACTGCCCACCCACAGGTGTATTTCAGAATCTTACAGGTTTGCTACACAGCGAGTCATAGATAATGACAAATAAATAACTGTTTTGTAGTTCATAGCTCAACAAACAATGACAAACCTTAGCTGTGTGACACGTTACAATTTCAGCAGCAACCCAGGTGCTGATACTGTCTGCATTTTTTAATAATTGCAGAAGATACCGGTCTTGTATGCACTTCGACAGAAATAGATTACAGACTTTAAGTGAAACTGTCTCAGCAGAAACTGCCCTGAGGAAAATACAGAAAAAAAAAAAAGGCAAAAATAATTCTGGCTGATATTGGATTTTTAAAGAAAACCTTGATCAGGAAGATGTCAACTTCTAACCATTTAAAATAATTCTGCATTGCTTGCTATCTTGATTTTATACCTCATGATGTAAATAGCGAGCCATGTTACATTTTCTTCCTTATAATTACATGGTAGGTATATCTGATAGAAAATAAGAATATACAGGATACATTTCTGTACATAGAAACACTTTCACCGCTCATTAATGCATAATAAAACCCCAGCCAATCTGACACAAAATAACAGCCAGAAAGCCAAACTCAACAACCGCAGCCACATGAGAAATCCAGCCTGGTATCAAGTGGCACCACACACGTCATTTCCCATGACTGAACTCCAAAATCTATATAAACCAGGTGATCTAGCCTTGGCCATTGAGCAACCTGTGAAAAATTAGTTGCTTCAGATCTTCATTCCTTATCCTTAGAAGCAAAAATCTACCATAGGTAGTTCAGTTATCAACTACTAATTAGAAGTTAATTGAATCCGCTGAGTATGTAAGAAGTAGACCATCATAAAAATAATTAGGTCTATGTGGTTGGATGAAAACATTAATTACTGGTGAGCAAATAATTTAAATAGGTTGGTAACCACTCTAGTAACTGTAAGAAAATTCTGTGTATCTCTGAATACCAAAAATTCACCTCCCTAACAAACAGCAGGAATGTTGAACAGAGAAGCTGTGGAGTCTCCATCCACTTTGTGCACACAACCCTGGGCAACCTGGTCCAGCTGACCTTGCTTTCAGCAGGGTGGTTGGACTACATATCTTGAGAGATTCCTTCCAGCCTCAGCTATTCTGTAAGACTGTAAATGTCTTTGAGATTTTATATACATACACACATTCCTGACCAAGGATCTACTTCAGAATCCATGACACTTTTTCTCTACCAAAAATGAAACCTTTCAAACAACCCCCAATCAAGTTCTTAGAAACATTTTGGCCTCAACTCCAGATTTCAAAGCAATCACCTGGCAAATGTGGCCTTCCACACACATGCATGTGCATAGGTACGTACCCATATCCACATATGAAATCTCCTGAAATTAAATAACCCATATAAACAGGATACCTAGTCTGTAAAAAAATGCTAAGTATTTAAATTGTTTCTCTGTTTCTGGCTGTATTAAAAGTGTAACACTCTAAGTTATTGTGCATCAACAGATTTGGAAAGCAGTTAAAACAAGCAACTTACTTTGGCACAGCAACACATTTGTCTTTAACACCAAGCGCTCTGGAATTTAGGAAGTGTACTGGATGACATTTATTAAATACTTCCTAAAAAAAAAAGCAAGATATATCTGCTGTTAGTTCTTTTAAAATGCCTGGGGACAAAAATGACGGAGTATGTCCTCCTCCCACCCCACCTGCATGAATTATGAGAGGGATCACAGCCTAAGAATAGCATTAGCTATTCTAAATTTCACTGTAGAGATTTCCAGAGGAAAGGTTGAATTCAACTTCTTATAAAATAGTATGAAATAAGCTTGAAACAAGGTTGGGAAATGGTAAAGAAAGAAGAGAAAGAGTGAGAAAATAGATATTATTTGTACTTCCAAATAAACCTAGACCTTTGTACCTGTTGCAGTAGTGTCAGCTGCCAACAAAGCTGTTGGGCACTGCACTCAATCAAGAGAACTGGTCCCACTTCATCAGCTCTAGCTAAGGAGACCGAGGATTCTGCTGTGAAACTGCTACAGCAGGGCTTTGGCAAAACTGCTGAGCCTGAGTGCAGCCGCTCTCTCTGATGTTGTGCAATTGGTCCCACACCTTTGGACAGTTTCCAGTAGAAGTTCTGTAGGAAAAAAACAGTAAGGTTACAACTTCTCTAAAGCAAACACTAAATCTCCTCTTGATGTAACTTCCTTGAAAGTGCTGTTAAGAGAAACACCTTTGTGCATGCAAAACTCTTCAGCTAAACTTCAAGGTTAGCCCACAACATACTGGTTTACTTAACACTGCTATTTTAAGCTAATACAATATGTACAGTGGATGAGTCTAAGCAGGAGGCTGCCAGATCTCAATCAATAATCAGTATTTAAAACAACCCTCTGTGTATTCAAGCTTGCTGTCATAAAATCTTTTACTTTTCCTTTTTGCTTAGAATCAAATATCCCTTTCCAAGAAGTACTTGGTTTTTCATTCTTTTCCATTCTTCCATTTTCCATTATCATTATTGTGCAGTGACAATAAAAAAAGTCCATGTTCCTCTATTCTGTTTGTCCTTTTTTGGCTGAATCCCCAATATACCCATGGAATTGTGCATCTTTATCATGAGGCTGATGTTTAATTCAACTTGCACATTATTAATACGTTTGACTTCCACATGTTATTTCGTCACTCTGTAAAGAGATCTGGTTTTGGGAAAAGCCTGCAGTAGTCCTGGTTTCTGGGGCTGTAGAACACAATAAAATAGTAAATACAGACAAAAGTTCAGACCAGTTCTTGCTACAAGCTTTGAAATTCTAGCAGGGAACCTCGTAGCTCCTGCTGTTTTCTTGTATTTATAGTTTTACAAAGATTAAGATTATTGTCATGGTTACAGAACTGTCTGGATCTTAGATACTTTCAAAAGAAAATTTAAAATGCAGGTACATATTTCTTACTAAGTAGGTCTGGACTATTAAGTTGGACACTTCTGTTTTTGTCAGAACATAATATATGCAAATGTGCTCCATACACTGAAGTCTGAAGAAAAAACACACCTTTCTGGAAACATCTTCTGAGAGCTTTTTACACAGGGAATGTAATGTTTTTCTGCCCTCCTGACTTTCCTCTTCACATTTTTCCACACCAGAGGAAAGATCAGCACTGCCACTTTTCCTGGCAGAGGCGTCCTCGAGCAGTGACAACAAACGCTCCCCGTAGCCATTTAATGAAGCAACCTGGGAATGCAAAACAGGTTAGGAGAACACAGCACCCAATGGCCCAGAAATTATAAGAAAATTACAATACAGTTGCAAGATTTTCACCAGTCTAACAAACAGACATACTAAACATAGCTGTCAAATACAGCATTATTTTTATTTTATTTACTTTAATTGTACTTAGGGCAGCTTTTTTGTAATAAGAAATGTTACGTATCCCATAACTTAAAAGTAATTAGTTTGTACTTTTTTTTTTTTAAAGGGTCTACTGAAATTCTGAATTACCTTGGAAGAAATAAATTCTTTTAGGGTACCCAGAAGATCAGTATTTGTTGCAAAATCTACACTGTAACAGTCTTCAATCCATGCCTGCAGGATGTAGAAACTGCGGTTACATATTTTGGTAAGGGATGTGGAAGGATCCAGGCTTGCACTGGTGAGAAGAAAAAGAAACTTATGCCAAAATTGATAACTAATCCTATGTAAAAATAAGTGTTGACAAAACCCACAAGTTTTATTTGGTATTTAATGTAGTATCTTAAATTCCTAAATTTCATGTCTCTAGAGTCGATGGCTCTATGGAAACAAAGCTGAGGTTGTAATTACTACCCATTAGTGGAAAACTGGTAACAGTGAAAAGCAGAAATGAGAAGTAAGCACATTGTCAGATGCAGCTCTTGCTCTCATTTTGCTCTCGCTCATTAAGAGTCTTACAAAAACAAACTTAAAATTCATTTAAATTAAGTAGCACTTTTGAGAAACAGCTATTTGTTATTAGGGGGAAACTCAACTGTGCTTTCATAATGTTTTTCATGGGAATTTACTATACCTGGATAAAGTGTTGCTGATTCTATCAAGAAGAAACTTCAAAAATTCTTCTTGTGTGCAGAAATAGCGGAATGTGTAAAGAAACTGCTGCACATAACCTTCTAAAAAGGCATTTCTGTAAAGCACAAGAAAAACTTCAGACAAGCCAGAACACATTTTCAACTTGCATTTGAGTACAGCAACAGCAAAAAAAATCCTCAAAATATCAAGAATAGGCATTTTAAATTCTCAAGCTCTTCATAAAACCTTGGTTCTTTTTAAAATTATTTTACACATCAAATAGTGTGATTGCCAACCCTGAAATCATAATGTGTTTTATAAAGAGTTTCTCTACTTTCAATTTTGTGAACGATCACAAATTTCTATTATTAAGGAAAGTTGCAATCTAAATAGTACGGAAGAACATATTACATTTTCTTTTTTTTCCTATCATCTAACTTGATGCTGCTTTGAAACATTTTCATTACCTAACAGCATAAGAAGTAGATGCATTAAGCAAAAAAAATATTCCCTGTAGCACTAATTAGAGGAGTGGTTACTTTAACAACAGAACACACTTATTATACACACATTAAAGATGAGAGCATTTTATTTTTTTATATACACACACTCTCAAGGTCTTAACACAGGTTAATTGTCTTTTCTCCCTATTGGCTTACAGCTAATCATGAAAGTTTGGGCTTGATGAATGTGGAAAGTCCAGTTCCAAAACATTTTCTTCATTTTGTGCAAAATATTAACTACCAGGAAAAGCAGCATTCAGTGTAAGTAACTGGGTCTCAGAGTCAGGATGGAGTGGGAGAAGCAGCTGGGAGGAAGCCGCTCCCTCTGCAGCTCTACAGCAGCACAAGTCTGATGGAGCCTCTGGCAATTTCCATCCTGCACACTGTTACAGCTGAGGTGCCTTCAAACAACACTGCCCTCACTGGAGCTGAAGGACACCTCTGTCCTCATTTAAACCTTGAGATAAGCCTGCATCTTGATCGGTGCCAAGGACTGATTATTGGGGCAAAAATCTGTAGAACCGAACCTAAACATTTTGATATACAGATCTTATTAATAAGAATTATGAAATTATATGATTATATGAAGAATTGTACTGCTGGCAGTGAAATAAAGCCTTGACTCCATGTCAACTAACAGAGTAAACCTCAAATAAGTAAAAGATAAAAAAGTTTAAAGTTGCTAGTTTTTTACTTATTATCAAATATGTTTAATGAAAGCCAGATGATCTTTTCACATTTTCATCTCCATCTCTGTAAATGAGTGTTCACAGAAATAACAAAAACTTGATAGAAGAGAGGAGAATTTATTAAATGTTGAGTAACTAGGATTTATCACAGAGACAAGTTTTTTAGCAACTGGTTTAGCAACTATGCTTCAACCCACTCCCAATTTATGTGTAAAATATACTATACCTAGAATATAAATAAGCCATTAAACCAAGGGGTGTACCAGCTTGCAGAACTCTCCCTCCATTTTGATTGTTACACTGGTGTTTCTCTGTGTTGTAGTAAAGGAGCAATGATGATTCATCCACAGGTGCCATGTCCATGGTGTCAGCCTTCCCACTGTGAATGACTGTAGGCAGCACATAGGATTCCACACCCCACTGCTCTGCATACATCATCTGCTCAAAGAAGCAAGGCCATGATAAAACAAGAAATTAAAGAGGAAAATTCACACAAATGCAACCAATTTAAAGACAAATTGCATTTCATACAATTGATTTTTTTTCCTTTTTAAATAATACTAGTAGCAATTGCATTTAATATTTCTTTTGGATCTTACTTAATTTGGCAGTTGGACACAAACCATTTCACATTTCATATAATGATCTGAACAGCCAGTTACACTGATGCAGTAATGAAATGACAAATGAAGTACAAATGAAATAAAATCTGACTTGCCTGTACATATTTCTTTACCAGTTCAAGAAACTGCACTTTTGATTTCATCTCTTGTAGCTGGCCTCTCAGTTTGGGCAACATAGATTTAGTTTCAGGACCTTTAGATTTAAAATACATGGCATAAGAACATCAGTGATTCAGTGATCAGAACAGGTCCTTAAAAGTATCATGCAGCCATTTTATTACTGGCAAGTTGCTATCATCATACCTTTGCTTCTTCTTTCTTTCTGCAATAGTTTCTGGTAAAACTTTATGGTCTTTCTGTAATTTTTCGTCTCAATCATTAGCAATTGTTCTAGTTCCTATTTAAAAAGAAATAGGATTCTGATCAGAATTGTAAGTGGAAGGTGGTCCTAGTAAGAAAGTAAAGTTTTAGAAGAGAATTATTTTGTATGAAGGAAAAAAGAACATCTTAACAGACAAGAATGTAATATTAACAATGAAAAACTACCTTTCACAAACTGTGTTTACAGGCAAGATACAGCAGGAGTTACCTGTTCCCAGAAAAACAGTGATGTCACAGCTCTACAACTTAAGAGTTTTGGAGCAGGTTTGTGTATGATGAGACTGTGAAGAAGTTTGTCTGAATCTGTTCACATAAATATGCCTTTAGTTATAATTGCACCTATCTGGTTGTTTTCATGAGCATTTTTAAAACTTGCAATCAGAAGTCATCCAGAATTAAAATCTGTATGTCCTGAATTTAGTGCAGGCCCCAGAAACACTTTAAACAGCTGACATATATTTGCAGTAAGAACTGAAAGTCTGACTGAAATCAGTGGCTTCCAAACAAGTATAATTACATGCTACTATACAACCAGGTCAGAAGGCAGACAAGAGAGCTGCTCTAGAAATAAAGGACATACAAAATTCAAAGTTCAGCTTTCATATTTTCTATTTATGTATTTCACAAAATTTTAAAAAATAAACTAAATTTCTATAGAATTACTTAATGTAAGCAATGAATAGAAATGAAAGTATATCAGGCCCCTCAAAATATATAAATTTTGAAGTAAACATTTACATTTATAATTGCATATCAAAGTTTTCATCACTTTACCAGCCAATAAAAATGGGCCATCCACTTTGGATTCAGCTTCTGATTTATTATGAAACAACAAACATGATGTAGGTTGTGCTGTATAAAAGTGGTGACTTTTGCACTTGGGTCCTAAGTTAACTACCAGTGACCCAGTTACATGAAACAGCATTTTAAATGCAGTAAGTTCACAGAATGCAGCAGACAACTCCCACAAGCAGAGTGATCAGAAAACACACAGCTCAGAGCTAATATATCAAACAACAGATTGGTAAATAGGTTAGCTTTAATGGGATGGACTTGCTAGAAATTAATTTGAGCTTAAGGAAAACCTGTCACTGTTTTTCAGAAAAGCTCAAAAGGTTTAACAACATAGTTCATTAGCATAGAGTCATAAAAGCCCCCTGGATTTTTAAAAGGTGTACTCCTACAGAGGCATTACATAGAGAACAGGGAAAGCACAGGAAAGCTATTATCCAGATTCTAATTGGAAACTGCTTGCTTTTACTTCAAGGTCTGCTTTTACTTCATCAGTTAAAGCAAAATAAAGGTGATTAAGGGTCTCTAAACAGAAAGGAAATCAGAAGGAGTGACCATTTGGAATCTGGTGGACAAAGTGGTTTGTCCACTAAAAAATCTGGGGTGAGTAGCAATGAAGTCAGAAGTAAATTCCCTGTCTATTCCACAATGTTTTCCAATTCAGATAGGTCTAAAGTATAAAAATTTTTGATGAAGCTCTATTCCTGTGATGTGCTCCAGTCAGTCATTTTTAGCTCTTTCCTACAATATCACCACCATGGGGTTGGTGCTTTTCCAGTCAACTTTAAGAACAGACAATGGGTTGTAGATTGGAGATTGCACTTTTGTGTCACCGTGCTTTAATTTGGATTATTATACCTATACCGATGTTTATTGCCAAGACATGACAAATCTTGAGGATTTTAAACTGCTTAAGAGTCAATATTTAAAAGAAGAAATTATGTTTTGACTCACTATAACTGAACAAATTTTATCACACTTTTAACCACCAAGATGTATCTTAATGATTTAAAATCAATGTACTCACCACTTTTTTAGCATCTATATTTTGTGACTCACTTGATTTCTGCTTTCCAAGGTTTTTCAAGTAACTATGAACTTCTGAATCAAAACATTCAGCTCCATAAAATGCACTGCTCCAACCAGGACTGCAGCCACAAAAGTCAGGTAGATTGGGAGATGTCAGGTAGCTGTTTCCAGCTATCTTTATCATGTCTTGTTCCTCTGAATTTGTACTTTCTTCTGCAAAGCCTGGAGCACAGCCATTGCTTTGCAAATATTGTTGCTCTTTCGCTATGGGGATTGTACTCTGCAGAGCCAATTCTTTTTTGATATTATCCAAAGGTGACCCATCAAAATCCATGTCAACTAATGATGTTTTTATCGACTCAGCCTTCACATCAAAGTTTGCTTCCCCTTTTCCTAAAGAAGGTGTGTGGGGGAAAAGAAATAATGGTCATGTGCTATAATGCCTTGTTGAACTTAAACATGGCACATACAAAACATGATTATGAGACTACCAGTGTGCTCTACCAGTAGGTTTAGATTCTTATTGTGACATTTTTTTTTCTCAACTACACATTGTAAAATGATAAAGGTTAAAAACATTTCAAAACTATCAAGCAATTGTTAAACAATACATTTCTGAAAAGTACAAAATATTTTCCATGCATATGCAACAAGCATTTAAACAACACATAGAAATTTTAAATTGGAAGTTAAACCTAAGCACACATTAATAGCTTAGCTTAGCTTTTGAGTTTTTTCCATCCATAAGTCTTGAAGTTTTTATTCCATACAGAGAGGGCAAGAATACTTGATATAGCCAATAGATGTTAAACTTTCTACTCCTACAGGACTCAATCCCTTGAGTTATGATGGGACTTTTTTGCAGTTATAACAACTACTATCAACCCTCAGGGACTGAGGTGACAGTCAAAGGTTGGTACAATGCTGACAGGAGCATTAATACCTGCCAGAAATCTCCCTTTTCACTTGAGCAATGCTCCAGGGCTTAGATATGCCACCTTGGAGTCAAACAAATCTAAATTCCTGGTGCAAAGAAATCACACACTCCACAGTAAAGTCTAGCTCTACATCTGCAATGATTCTGAGCCAAAATGGAAAATTGTCATATCGAATAACAGCAGCCAAGTGTAAAATTACAAATTTATGTTTTGCTATAAAAATGAACAACGTTAAGTGTATAAGCCCTTCTGTAAAGCACACACATTTTCAATTTGCTCAAAACAGAGAAGTAACAAAGTTTAAATGCTGAAATTTGGATGAACTATCTTGGAAAAAACCTCACACTGGTAAAACAGCAACCAAATAGAAGCTGTCCATCAATGCACCAAGCCTAGAAAGGGTAATGGTTTTGTTATAATATTAGGATTTACCAGTCCCAGCTCAGTTTTGAGTTCAGTTACTGAAAGATATTTTGTAAACTTTCAATCACACAGTGTGTCAGAAGAAATGTAAAACCCAAACTGAATAAGTATAAATAAACAATCCACTAATATAGTAGACACTAGATTATCTACCCAAACACAAGAAAACCACATACAACAGCTACCATCTTTAGCGTTTTCAACAGAGACATCCGTTTAAATAAAAGTAAGTAAAAGTAAATGACATCCCACAAAATAACATTTGGTCATATATAAGCTTCCTATAAAAGACATTTATGTCCTTAAGGCATTGATAATGTTCAGTTTCAGTGAAAATGTCTATAATAGTTAAGGAGAGTGCTTTCCTGAAGACACAGGCAAAGTGTCTCAAAGCTTCTGTCACTGATATATTCTCAGCACACACAAAGATCTAGAAACATGAAGTCCCTTCTCACCCTCTGTCTGATCACTGCTTGTCAGAAAGCTTTCAGATTTCTTCACATCTTGGAATATATTGTTGCATTTTGCTTCATCTGCCTCAGTTATGCTGAAAATACAAGACTAGGAAAAATTAGTATTTCCTATACTTTTATATTTACATCAGTAAAATGAGATCTTAAAAGCGACTCTATCATGCACATAAAGAGCTTCATAGCATTTATCTAATTCCTAAAGTTTTCATGTTCAGCTTCAGTTGTTATTCTATGAGAAAAAAAATGTTCAAATGGCTATTCAAGCACAGTAATATAGAGACTTTCCTGTGCAGCATTTGGCTAAACTCGTATCAGAGCACACACAGCCAGAAGGCCTAACTCCAGCCACAGCTATAGACTGCAAGTTACTGTAGTGGGATTTTCACTCAGGATTCATCCTCTGGATAAAACTGACTCTAAGTCACCCCTAGTCAGAATCATAATCTTAAATCAAAGAAGCCAACATTGAAAAACTGCTACAGCCTTTGTCAAACTAATGTTAAGTAAGCAGTGTCTGAGGAATATTTTAAGACAGGCCTTGCATGTGATGTGAAAGCTAGACCTGTATTTTACTCAGGATAACAAATTATGATCTCTCATTATCAAAAACTGCTTTGTAACAAAAAGTTCATATACAGGATAACCCTTCAGATGTCTTTGTAATTCTGCTGCAGCAGCTCAGGTTTCTCCTACCCTATCATTGAACTTTAGGGAACCAAGGGCCTAACTTCCAACCAATTTTCAGTATCTCCTTAGAAATTCCAGCCCAAATGGGAAATAGACCAGTATACCAAGGTTGGGTATTTGGAGGTCATAATCTATGATCCCTGAAACTTGCTGTAAGGATTATACACCTTTCAATACTAAAGTTTTTCTAAACTGTATCTACTAAGCTTCTTTGCCAAAACTTCAAATTTGTAGTTCCAAAAACCCCCAAATTAACTTTGACATAAATTGATTACTTTTTTTAACAGTCTTCAGCAAGAAGATTTTATAAAAGTATAAAAGTGTACATTTGGAGGCTGCAGTAAAACAAGAATCTTAAAATTATTTTTCAGGTGGATACATATGCCATTGAAGATTAAATAAGAAAAGTGAGAAATAAATTTAGCTGGTTTTTGTCACTTAACAGGCTACTTACAAAACAGTGCCAGGAGGAACACTCAGTCAAATTAAGCCAGCTAAGCAAAACATTTCTAGCAAAGCTAAATTAATTTCCTTTTCTTGGGTGTGATTAGAATGATATATAAAGAACTTTATATATATTCTATTATATGATATGTAAAGAACTAATATCAAACAGAATAAGCAAAGTGAACAGGAGGAACAATATACTTCTGATTAAACAATCTCTTAACAAGACTATGAAGTTCTCCATCAATGGTTGCAACCAATATTGATCAGAATTTGGTTTCCATTATTCAGCTCTCCTAAGATGGAGCTAGACAAATGTAGTAGAAAATATTTTTGACTGAACCATTAAGCACTACTTGCATGGAAAAAGCTTTGAAAAACCTCCAAGTGTGAAATTAACAGTTTACAGGAAACAAATACAAATACCTGAAGAGAAAACATATATTCTCTCCTGCTTCTATGAAGTAGGGATAAAAGCATTAAATTAAACTGTAAGAAGGAAAAAGTTGAAGAACACGTACCATAAATGTGAAGGTCTTCCTCCATTTACTGCCTGATAGAGATTCTCCAGTAATTTTTCATCCCAGTAGAGGTCACAAAATTTCTCACAAATTCTATCAGAGAACATACCAAACTTTATTTCCTTTAAGTTTAAAATGAAGTTACCTTGTTTAAAATAAAAGAAACATAAACAAACAAAAGAGAGAGAAAAAGAATTAATAGGAATATTCTTACAAATCAATGATAATAATATACAGAAGAAAATGCACATACCCATATCAAAAACTTCTGTTCCATTCTCTAAATAACCATCAAATGCAAACTCCTCTTGTATAAGATGAATCACTTCCTGTAGTAAAGTGTCACTTGGTGTGCTCTGATGGGGCAGGGCTTTATCATCAAAGAAATTATAACTGTCTTTATCCACTGAAGTACATGGTGTGTGTTCTTGTTCAGTGAAAAAACTGTCTGTGCTGGTAGCACACTCAGTTTCTTGGCAGCTGGTTTGAATAACTGAGCTACTTTCATCAAACTGGTTCTCTGTATTAGTAGTCTCATGACTTTGCACACTGCAAAGGGAGGCATCATTTTCTGCTTGCATGCTCATTTTATAACTTGCAATAGTATTTGAAAGTAGCACTGGCAAACTGTGATAGCAATCATAAGCAATTCTTGAGCGAAGAGGCTTATTTGGTATTTGCTCTGATACGGCCAAATGTACTGGTACAAATGTCAGAACTCTTTTCTCTGAGTTCTGTTTGAGAATGATGTTATTTATATGAAGAAAATTAGGAGATGTAGGACAAGCTGAAGAGCTGGAGGGATTGTCAGATAAAATACTCTTCTCTTGTAGAACATGTGAGGAATCAGATGGTGATGGTACCCTAACTGTAGAAGTGAATGTATTGCCTGAGTTTTGCTCTTCTGAAGACATCTGGGATGAGTGGCTTGGAACTTGTAAATCACACTCAGGTGTTTCAGGTGCAGTTTCAACAACACCTGTATCATCAATACCACAGCTTTCAGAGTTCTCTATATATCCTGATTTGTTGTGGCTCATATGCTTTTCTTTCCTTGTCTCTTTCTTGAACTGGTCAGAAACTGGTGTGTGAACCTCTCTGAAAAAAAAAAAACCCCAAGATTTTTTTTAAGGAAAATTCAAATAGGTTTAACAATGAAATTTAAGCTTTAACTTATTCTGCTTTAAGATATACTAACTTTGTTATATTTGCATCTTGTTGCAATATAATAGGCTTAAAGTGAGTTGCAGGAGAGGTGAATGCAACAGGGAATGTTGCTTTCTCACAATTTAATGAAATCTGGCACGGTACTGGTCCTTTAACTGCTACAAGTTTACTGTCACTGGTACAAGGCACAAATCCTAAAAGCAAAAAGAAAGATGATCAATATGTAAAATATAAATGCAAAGTAAGTAAAAATCAATTTAGAAAAACAATTGCATATTGAACTGAGAAAATGTTATGTGGAGAACTGAACTAGAGAATACTAAACCAGAGTGAACATGCCAGAGCCTGACTGCTCACCTAGACTTGATGTTGAAGGATCCATTTCATGTTTCTCATTTTTAAATTCAAAAGCAACGTGATCTTGAGACAAAACTTCTTCCTCAATAGCCTAAAAATAAACATTGAAGCCCAAACTGGTGTTATTAGCATTTTCTTTGTTCAAATTCTGCTCAGCATATTACTTAAAAACACCCCAATCTTCATATACATGTAGAATATTACAAAGCAATAACCTAGCCATGCCAAGGAGAGGAACTAAAAGAATTACATACAGAAGTCTAAGGACTCGTAGAACTGTTTAGAAATCATGATAATTTGATGTTTTAAACCAGAACCTTAAGGTAATCAAAGTTTTGAACAAACTCAGTTCCATGGATTGATTGAATCCTGTGTGCATTATACACACACAATTGAAACACAAACAGAACCCAACAATTACATATTAATTTCTTCTGTGGGGTGGTAAATAAAAAGAGAGATTATGAAATTAATTACTTGTCCTTCACCCATACAGATTGTGGAGTCAGAGCATCACAATCTGTGGAGTGATCACTCCAACAGCAAGAACTAGGAAAAGGCCATACTTATAGACTACTTGAAAACACATTATGAAAACCCAGAACAACAACAAAAAAAAATCACACCAGCAAAACAAAACCCAAAATCTAGCTACACTTTCAGGCAACAAAATCTTACTGGAATCTCTTGGACAAGGACAGTCAAGATAAATAGTCAATTAGAAATAATCTAAGTTTAGGAAGTCTTATGAACCTTGTCCAAGTACCTTGATAATTTCAATATAAATTAAAAACACGCCCCTCTGTGTCCCTAAGGAGGTAACTCTAAAAACAAAACCCAAAATGACTGGTTATGATTTAATTAGATATCAGTCTATTACAAGTATTAAGTTATTAATTTGATTCTAAAAACACTAAAATGAGACTTTAGACACAATTAATCTAATAACCTTAATTGCAGCAGTTAGAGAAGGTCTTTCTTCAGGGTTTTTTCTTGCCATATCCAGAAGTAGTTTTTTAAATTTTCTTGGCAATACTAGTTTGTGACTCAGTGGAACACTGTATTTTGCAGCCATCCACAGAACTGCAGCAACACCATAAACACAGACCTATTGGTATAAGACACAAGAAAGATTTAAACAGACTAAAAATAGCCTCCACTTCAAAAACAATTTCAGCAAATTATCAAAAAATTTCCCCCATTTCCTGCCAAAAAAAAAAGAAAAAAATAATTACTAGAGCTTTTAAAATACAGATTACATTTGGGTTTTGAGGGTGCTGATGAAAATCCCAGCCTATTTCAAAATCTAGTTGTTATGCATGTAGGGCCAATAACAGTAGCTATTTTTCTACTGTTGGAACAACAGAAATTTATTGTCTTATTCTTTATCTAGGGAAATTATTCAGAAAAAAAGTATTAAAGAACCATTTTGAAGAATTCCTTTCTCATGTAAAAAGATGGCTGCAAGCCTCAGAGTTCTATCATAAAACCTGGCCAGCTGCAATTTACTTAAAAAAGGTCATGATAATTCAGCAAGTAAGTGGCACAAAGTAATTACAAGCTACCCAGCACAAGTCATATTTTATAGAGAAGATTACACCTGTCAGAAGAATAAGGCACTGAATATTTATTTTAGGAATTATTGTGCTACCTGCAGCTACATCAATTGAAGTTGCCCCAATGAGGGACCTTGAAAAGGACTGGTATTTACCAGCTTTCTTGTTTTGTTTGAAGAATTACAATTTTCAGAGTCAGATTTAGTCCACTTAATGCTTAGTTTTCATATGTTAGCATGTACTATAAATGCCATTTCAAGAAATCTAAAGCACCACACTTTATGTTGCCTCTGAAAGATATTACAAAGGCTCAGTGCCCTAAGCACAGTAGTAAATAATGTGTTCCCATAAAACTATCAAAACACAAATAATTTCCTTCACCTTATGTTTAGAACTCCAAGAGCATGCTAAATTTATTTATTTAGGAAAAGCTTGCTATCCAAGCCATCAGATCCTCCAAAGAAAGTTCTTTTTCCTGTTATTTTGACTGGCACTAAGCAGACTTTAGTCGCATACCATAAATTGAACTGGATGTTCATGACTAGAAAGTTATACAGTCATCAGGAAAAAGGCAAAAAATCCCATCAACTTTTTCTATATGTAACGTTGTAGAAAAAAACCAAGGAAACAGATTACTTTAGATATTCTATAGAAAATGAACAAAGCACGAAGACTTTAGGATTATTAATTTCTACTGTCTGGTGAAACTGCTGTATTGTATTTCAGGGTTAGTTTAAGCTTCTGAAGCCTTTGAAAAACTTGCACATTGGATCAAAGCAGTTTATGCAATTTTAGGAAAGATATAAAAATATTTTCTAGTTACAGACAGCTTTACAGAAAATTGAATGATTTTAGTAGATTTTTATGAACTTTTATTTTCTGATTCATGATTATTATGTCTAATTCCAAAGAACTCATGTGACACAAGGTACATATTAGCTAATCTCTTTTCTTGGTACACAACAAAAACGTACTGTAAATTCTGTTCCCCTAACTTTTAAGATCACTGTGGTACAGTTTGCAATTCAAAAGTGGAGACACATTCACCTGCTATTTGACATCTTTATTATCTTTGCTCTAAAAGCTCCTTATGGTTTTTATCTACAGGGAAAAAAGCTCTAAGAAAACTATTTTGGAAAAAGACATCATTCATAATGTTTCCACAGTAAAAACATACTGGTAATAATATTTTTATTCAGTTTTCTGAATGTGAATAAAGTTTGGGCTTTTGCCCAGACAATCTAAAACACTGATCTTACTGTGACCTTCAGAATGTGAAAACATGACTTCAAAGTCTTACTGCTAACAAACTGAAGAAACTAAGTCTTATGGAAAACCATTGAATAACAGATTTTCAGCAGTTACTCCAAGAATTCTGGAAGGCAAAATTACAGAAGCAACTAATTTTATGAGAGATCAATATATTTAAAACATCCCCATGGATAACCAAGAAATATCAGGAGAAATGAGAAACATTAATGCAGCCTTAGAAGAGTTTAGCTTTCTTCTTCAACTAGCACAGGGATAAAACTGTCCTTTGATAAAATACAAAGTAACCTACCACATTACCTTCTCAGTATCCACATCCTCTTCTTCAATTTCAGGAGCTAAATAAAATACATCATAAGATTCTAAATGAGAAAAGAAATCAGAAACAAAAGGTAAGATGTTGGCTTTCCTCTCCACTTCCCCTGCAATGCAATGAAAGCTGAGCATGTAATGTCTTATTTTACCTTCAGCTTTTGGAGCAGCAAAGAGGATCCTTCCATGGCAGTCAATCAGCACAGAGTCCAAACATAAGACCACTGCAAAAAAAACCCACAAAAGGGCAAGGCATAATAAGTATCCTTTCTTATAGCTATTAAGCACTAATAAAAATAAATAATTTTAACAAGGAATTTACGGTGTCAGAAATTACCCTACAATAACTGATGCTTTAAATAATGCAGCACTGAAAGGTCAAGAAACAAACAAAACAAACAAAAATATAATAGGTAGATATACTCTAGTCTTCTCACAAAGTACCAATAAAAGATGGTAAATTTATCATAAGAATTTAAGTCTCTCTTCTCCTCCTTCAACTCCACAAAAAAAGGGGGTCATAGTCTGGAGAAAGCTGACACACACGTGGACAGATCCAAAACTACTCTAGGTGCAACAGGATATGAAGTCCAGTTTTTCACAAATAGTTATAATCACACTTCCTCAGGGAAGTAATGTTACAGAGGTTGGTATTTGCAAGGCCATGAAATTTTCCATTGTTAAAAAAGAAGTAATGGACTTCTAAAACTATTTTAAATGATCTAAGGTCTTCAGGAACTTAACATTAAGGTAATGAGATCATATCATATAAATTGGGTGTTGAAAATCTTGTGGCAAAACAGTGTCTATCTGTTTGCTAACTTCAAAGCACGTTTTAATTTAATGTATTTTAATATACTAAGCCAACTGGCCAATAATGTAGTCCTCTATTTCTCAAGTACCATCAAATGCACTGTTTTCTTATTAAAAACAGAGTACTGGAAGAATAGACTCTTAAACTGAGTAAAAGATTAAAACATTAAATGTATTAATTATAAAATATTAAAGATGTCTAAGATACACCCAAATATTAATTTCTTAATAAATAATTAATTGACAAGGTCTAAGAGGAAAGAAATAAAGGAAGACAAAAAGGCAGTAACACTTTAGCTTTTTTTAGTTACCTGTAGAAACCACATCTAAAATTAAATTATTCACTATGCTTAACGTAAGTAAAGGCTTTTCTACTATCTTCAATAATATTTAATCAGGAACTGAAGTATATATCTTGAAAAGCAAAGCTTCCCAAATGAGAAGTTTTGCTGGTTATTTCTGCAGAGGCAGTTTCACACTCACTTGTCTTTGTCAGCAGTAAATGCCCCTGGCCCTGCTCACACAAACCAGATCTCAGTTTGTTCAGTAAAATAAGAATCTTCACCTGGGCTCCCTGAATCACCCATGAGCAACATGTAAGCAACATCCCCTGATAAGAGGAGAGGAATTAAGTCAAGTCCCAGTGGAGGTTACAAACAACTTCTGTAGCAGAGCTGAATGAACAAATACGTGAGGAAGAGGCTAGCTTTGGGATATGTTTTCTTAGCCAGGTAATTCCTGCTTAGGATAATGAAAAAAGTGTAATCAAGGAAGGATTTGGAGGAAAAGGCTGTCCATGTGAATAAATAAAAAGTAATCCATCATCATATATTTAACCATGACTCATCAGCTGTCTTACTCTACCATTGTCAAGACAAAGAATATTTTTACAAGATATATTCAAAATACATATCAGCTTCACCTTTAGTATTATTCAAAAGGAATGCTGAGAGAACTTTATATGTGTGTGTGTATGCACTGAAGTAGTAATACCACTATAAACCTTTCCACAATGCATCACTCTCCTCAGAACAGGCAGAGAATCCTCTTGCAGAAACATTCTAAATCTGAAACCAATATTCAACTTCAAGGCAGCTTTATTTGTCAAATACAGAATTTATGTAAGATGTCTTCCATTTGGTGGTTTGTATCATTATGTTCCCTTCTACAGAGTACATAAGGTTCAGATGACAACTTTCAGTGTTTTTAAGACATGCATTCGGATGCATGTGAGTGCAGTAACAGAGGATGGCTAAGCATATTACATTAGAATCTGAGCCATTATGTGCAGTTATCTGAAACCTTCAGAAACATTAGGAACATGCTATGAAGCTGAAATAATCCTTCTGTTACAGGATATATTAAATATGTAGTTTTATGGGTAACAATTCTTAAACTACTCAGAATCTGCATTTATGGCTTATTTCCTCTTAAGCAGTTTTATATCATAGAAATCAAATAACCAAAGCCTCTGCTCTGTTTATCAGAACTGCTAAAAGTTTATCATTAGTATAAGCTAAATTATTATTCAGAATGTCCAAGAAAATCTAGATGGTCTTCTCCTGAGTCACACACAACATATTCCAGTTTTGTCAACAGACAGCTCCCACTCCCTCTCTCAGAAGTTTACTTCTGTAAACTGAAGCACAGGGGATGTGGAAGGAGTAACGCCATGACGAGATCCAACTTAAAATGACAAAGCCCTGTACTTCAGAAAATATATCAGGAGCCATTTGTCACAAAGAAATCCAGGCAAAAGTGGAAGTTTTTTTCTTTACATATATATATATATGTAAAACTTATTTCCTCCTGCTTGATACAAGTCACAAGTGTTTTTTTGAAAGTCAAAGTGTAGATTCTCCATTCCCAAAAGGTCTCAATTTTGTTTCACTGCTTGAAGCCAGAGACTCATTTCTGCTGCAAAAGCCATCAAAACCCAGAACAAAGAGAAAAAAAAGACATTCATCTTTATATGGAAGAAAACACCAAACTGAGTTTTGTCACAATTCAAGAGTCAAAATAGATATATTGCCTATTATTTTCTGCACACAAAATGAAAATCGAGATCCTTTCAATCAACAGAATAAAGGAAACATTAACACAGTGAATATAAATAACTAGGGAAAATACTTCATGATAATTAAGACTATACCTGGACGATCTACGCAAGTCTGCAGAGTACATAAACACTCATGACATAATGCCCAGAGCTCATAGTCTTTCAGAGGCCTACCATACCAGGACAACAGGAGTTTTAGAGAGATCCACTGAAAAAAAACAGTGAGGATGCAGAAAGTTATAAAAATTATCACAATTAAAAACATTTACTAATACAATAAAAAAAGTAAATCCTAATATAAAACATACTCAACTTAAAAAGTAACAAGCAAATAAATTTATTGCACTTACCAGTAATGAATTAATACTATTTATTAAAAAAGCATGGCACAGTCAGCTAACTATAAATGAAATAATTGTTTCTTAATTGCTTCAGGAAAAGTGAGCTGTCTGGAAGGTCTTTCTTACCATACTAAGGAAAGACTCATAGAATATCCACTGTGTAATAGACATATTTTATGATGAAACAACTACATAATTATAGGGACAACACCTAGACTGAAAAACAAAAAATTCAAATGATTGCCATCAACAAAACAGTCCCACATTCAAAACCTGATTTACCCTGACAGTTGCATTACAAGTCTTACCTTAAAGATTTCATCAACATCTCTTGTTCTTCTGTGAAAGATGTTAACAATACTGATAGAATTAATGACAGGTTTATTTGAAATCCCCACATGATGTTTTGTTTTTAATCACTGGCTGCTCAATTTGTAGCAACAGCATTTGTTTTTCTGACTATCAATTTAGCTTTTGATATCTGGCATAACACCTTATTGCTCCATGGAAGCTTACTGTTCTTCACAGTGTCACAAGAGACATGCTTTACATTTTGTGGTTTTTTATTTATTATGTATTATTTTATTTTTGGGGAATGGTGTGTGTTTGTGTAAATCTAAGAATTGGAGATTTACAGTAGTGCACACACACCTTCCTGATCAAACTGTGCTAATGGAAAAGGTCATGTCTAGTAGTGGCTCTTGACATCAGCTCCACTTTATGGTTCATCTACCAAAGGAACACAAAAAAATTCATTGTAGGCAGAAACCTCTGAGTGAGAGCAGACCCAAAGAACTCTCTTTAAAAAGAGCACAGCACATTTTCTCTTGCATTTGAAGTCCTGAGAGAGTCAATTTCAGGCTGAGTTAGGGAAGAGAACTACCACAAGTAATTCAGGATTAACCCTGGAAAAAACCAAACATTCTGCCCTCAAAAAATACCCCCCCCCAAAAAAAAAAAAAAATTAAAGAAAAAAACAACCAAACCAACCCAATAAAACCCAAACACAGAACTAAAGCACAGGAGACAAACAAAAACCCCTCTGAACTGTTTTGCTGCTTTTATATAAAGGTGCTCAGACACCTTTATATCCCAATCAGTATTTGTAAAATCTACACAGACTAAGGGTCTCTCCCACACACAATGGCAGTACATCATTAACTTTGACAAATCAGCCTCTGCACTGTCATTTACTGAAGTCAATTTTTCATCCTTTTACTGAGATGCTCTTTGGATTTTATCATAAAATACATAATGAGCTGACTACTGCATTGAATTTCATAAAGCTCAACAAACAGAAACCTTCAGTGCAATCTATGGAGAAAAGAAGGACATTAATTTCTGTAGCTGAAACTTTGTTAATAATTTTAACCAGAACACCTTCTCAAAGAACACAATACTTTAGGCTCATATTGTTTAAATATTCTTTGAAGATGAAACAGACAAACTACATTTTTAAAACAAAATATCAGGAAAGGTGTGTCAGGAAACACACTTTTTGATTTACTGAAAATGTTCCATATTCTGCCTACCCCAACAGACAAAAATGAACTTGGTGCTATTATTTGCCTATCCTACATTGTGGCACGCTGCAAAAATCCGTAACTTCAGCAAAGCCAGATTTGAAGCCAGATAAGATTCAGTTTCATTCTCCAATTTTGCTATCACAAGCACCCTGGAGCGCAAAATTCTTTCACCCATGTGTTCTTTCACTCTATCTAGAAAAGTAAGCTCTTGAACTATCTGATAAAAAGCCATCAATCACACAGCAGGAAGGAAAAGGACAGACAGTCAAAAGAATGAATTAGAGAGCATATAGGATAGAGCTTCATACTGTTGGTAGATTAGTATCCCTGAGCAGCACACTGCTTCCCCCTCCAGAGCACTGTGGTTCTCATGTGCCTCAAGTGTCTCTGCTCACTGACACTGTACAAGGAAAGGAACAGTCAAATCTTCAAATTAACCCTGCACAGAGGTTAACCCTGCACAAGAGAAACCATAAGAGGAATTTCAGACTACAACATTAAGAAGGTTTTGGGATTTAGGAATTTTTTTCTAGTAAGTACACCCTAATGCCAAATGTATTTCTGTAAGAGAATCCCCCCTCTTGAAGCTTGTATCTCTAGAGGCTCTAAAAGCTGCAGCAAAGATGGACTTCCTTTACTGCATATACAAATCACCTTTCACTCCAGGAGAAGGTGATGAATGGCTAGCAAGGGAAAGAAGAATTTCTCAGTAAACTGGAGGCTGAAGTTTGTTATACAGCAGAAAGCTGCAATGTATTTCTCATCACCTCTGGGATATCCAAGCTCTTTAGAGCAAGAAAGAAATGACAAAGAAATTTAGGCACAGCAGGAGAGTAAGAATAAATCCTAAGAGCAGCAGCAAAAGTTTATGATAAGACAGAAGTGTCAATGATAGATTAGAAAATAGAGGATGAAGATGCACCAGAAAAACTCTATTTTGGAAGAAAAAACTATGCAGGGAAAGCAAATCGTAGCATAAATGAGAACCACTGCCATCTACGGGATGGCCAAATCAAACTGAGTCAGGAAAAAAAAAGAATGCAGTCTGGTTACAGGTTGGTGAACTTTATTCAAATGTATATGCTAGTTGTTTCTCTGGCAGTCATTCTAAAGAAATAAGAAACCTCAAATATAATATTGTTAGCTGGTATTTGTGTGTTAGTTGGTCGTCTGTCATGCTAATAAATACCTCCACTGCTATTGTCTCTTACTATAATTCACATCTCTCCTCACCTTGATCATATTAATTATGCCTGAACGAAATACATGAGAAGGTCATTCTTCTAGTGTCCTAATCCAAATTCCATCTTCTCCAGAAAGAGTAATGTGGAAGACTTCAGATGAAAACTGAGGGCTCAGACCTGCTGGGCACTTGTGCCTCTAACACCTTGCAGAAGTTACCCCTTGTGGTCAAGGTACGTGACAAGCCATGTTTCATCACACCTTTGCATTTGTGGTGAAAAATGCATGCAGTCTGGTTCAAAGAGTTTTCTCAACCTATGGCTATGAGGCAACTTTTATTTAAGCCTCAATCCTTAAAAAAAGGAATTTAATGCAATGCTCCTGGTACCTTACCTCTGTGGTATTTTAACACAATGCACGATCTAACTCCACTGAACCTTGGTTTAGTAAACATATAAGTGTAAAACTCCTTATTTAGGCATGTCTCAGGTTTGGCTGTTTTGGTTTGTAATGTGCAAGTCTCTGATTCATGGCTATTACTATTTCCTAAAACTTAAAACTAAAATCCCCACTCAACCATCAAGAAAAAAAATCAGAAGTACTGGAAAATGTATGATTAATTGCTTTTAGTCAAACCATCTGTAGCATGCATTGTTACTTATCTATTCACATATTTTAGCAAAGCAAGCTCAAGACAACTCTTCAGCATTTTTAAGTCCACTTCATTTAAACCATTAACATTATTTTAATATTGCTATTAAACTTTCATTAATATACTATCATCAGTGAAACTGCACTAAAGAGGAAACAAAATTATAATGTCTCTTTCCAAGTTTTTTTATGTTCTAAACCGAACCTTTTCATAACAGAAATTATATTACCCATTTTTTCAAGTAAGAAAATGTTTTTCACAGCATAGAAATTTTGTCAGAAAATACAAAAAAAGCCAAATGAGTTATTACTGCCTATATCCACATCCTAGTGCCAATTTGGTTGATGCCCAAAGATTGCATTTTAAACCTTTCTTGTTGGAAAAGCTATGGTTTTTTTGCAGTGCTGTAAAGATTGTTTAACAGATCTTCTACTTAATTTTTGGTACCAGAATTGTAGACCCCAAATTTAGTAATGCATTCCAACTATGCAAACATAATCTATTTTATGAACATAACGCTGACATGTTTTAAATAGCCAAAACAAGATTTTCATCATTCTTTTCTTAGCAAGTATTATTCTGGGAACTGACAACTTTTCTTTCCTTCATGTTATTTCCCCAGTGTTAAAGTGTCAGCCTCTAGCTACATGGCTTTTCACTTCTCTCATGCTTGACAGGGTATGAATGACCAACAGAAAACAAACTTGCATTTGCCAGGCTCCCATTAACCCTTCCCAAGCAAAGGCCATAGCATTTAAATCACAGAGAAACATTTAAAAGGATTAGAGATGAGACACACCTGATTGGAATGAAACTGGTTAGAGAAATAAAAGATCCCCACTCAAACTTGAAGTGAAAAATATTTATTTATGGCATGCAAAACTATAAAAATTACTAGGAAAATCCTCACAAGATACATTGCAGTAGCCAGACAAAAGCAAGCAAATATTTTTAGTAATGCTTACTAGCAGTAAAGCACACAACAATAAGAAGCAGTGTTTGAGTATTAGAAAAATATTGTCCACTGGAGAAGTACTGACAGGCAAGAAAAACTGTCTGTTCTCCAGAGTAGACAAGGTTGATCTTCAACCGGATGGGGCTGGTATTGCACCTTCTCTAAGCAACGTGAAATATTGAAAGGGAAGCTGGAGATACCATTCTAAAAGCTCTACTTGCTGCAATCATGCTGATCTGTTATAGAGAACGCAGCAAAAAGCAGCACTGCAAATCCTCTGAGGTGTTTTCTATTTACCCCACAAGGCAGAAATCACATTTGTTGGGGCTTCACACTTCTTGTGCTTTTGCAGTAAATGAACAAACTCAGATTTGGGCTTTCTTAAAAAAAAAAAAAAAGGTATTTGGTAAAATTCTGGCCAATGGGAACTTGAAAGACAGACAGCAGAAAGCAGCTGTACTTTTGGCATGTAAGGGATAGCACAGTATAGCCTTTTTTTCCCTCAGGAAGGAGGTAACACAAAAGCAAAAACTGCTATATTTTGGAAGCCTGAGGAATAAAATCTCTTTTCCAAAAGAAAAAAAAAAAGATGAAAACATTAACCCACTGGATTTCTCTAAGAAGACCAGCAATATAGTCTGCTATTCAGTTCAATGACTACTAACTATGAATGACCTTCCTTCAGAAAACAAAGGATTCCAAGGCTAGAAATTCAGTATTTCAGGAAGCCATTTCAGAAGCCTAGGTGTGAATATATTTTAAGGGGTTTTTTTCTCCCTACAGCAGTTAAATAATCAAAGATTTTATTATGTTTGCTTTTTTTTGTTTAAGACCAACAAGACTTTTCTAAATAGAACATTTTTATGTGACAGAGCCCAAACATTTGCTGGAATCATTTACTAAAAAAAGAGAATATACAGCATGAATCTATCTAACATTTCTTCTATTGAAAAGACAGCTATAAACCTCAGATATAACAAAGAGCCACTATCCTGCTGTCTTCATTTCAGATGCTATGTATTATGACACTGCTTATTAGGGTACCTGGAATAAGAGTTACCTTGTTTAATTCACAGTGATTGTCCTATGAATTCAGTGGGAGCAGGATAATATCACTGTTAATAAGAGCCTACTTGTTTGCAAGAATGAAATTCTGTTCAGGCTGAAAGGACACTTTATTTAAATTGCTGATGAAATATTTGAAGAAAAAGATTCCAGAAGAATGGCAGAACAACCTGAAAATGTGTTTTGGTTTACTTTTCTGTATGTCAGTCTCAAATGCTGCTGCAAAAAATCAAATAAGATTCGTAACAGCTTTTAATTTTATGGAAGAATTTTGGACAACTATAATTCTGGGGAAAATTATTTTCCTAAAACCACCTTCATGCACCCAGACTTAAACTTTTGCCCTGGTAATCCAGTAAGGAGAGGATGTAGGTCTTATTTAAACGGGTTTTTTTCCTCCTTATGTTCCATAAGTGATGGCAGGAATAGAAAAAAAAAAAAGGATGTGTGTACAATAAATGAATTATTTCTCAGAGTCTGAAGAATGCACTTGCAGGATATAAAAACTAAATAAAGGATTCAATATGCATACAACAAATAACCCCCTTGGACAGCAAAACCATGCCATGTGGTATTTAACCACATTTATTATCCTCCTGAACTAGGAATTTAATAAGCACACCTGTTGAGGAAGAAGAGATAGGAAAAGGAAAAAGGGACAGATTCCTCAATTTGCTCTAGTTTTTGAGCTATGATGAACCAAAGGCTCTTTATACAACTGATAATTCTAGGTTAGTGCTCCAGTGGAGGTGTTTGGGTAAGGTAAAAAGAGGGACAGAGACTGAATGTAACCCTAAGTGCCACTGCAGGGGTTGGCTGGAAGATGGGCTGGTAGGCAAGGAGAGCAAGGCTGACTTGCCAGTAGACAAGGAAAAAAATCCAACATCTTCACCTAAGAATAATTTCTGGAAACAGAATGTGTGAAGTTTGTGCTGCTCATTTTTATCCTGCCATAACAAAGCAGGAGAAGGATAAGCAACCCTGCAGTTTTAGCCAGCAGCTCTCCTACCACAGGGATTGTTTACACCTCTGAGTGTGGCACAAGAGAAAACCATCTAGTCAGAGACCAAACTTGTCCACCCTGAGATATGTAATTTGAGCAGAGAAGAGACCATATTACAGTTATCTATCAACAAATTCTGGTAGATTCTCCCTCTCTTATTTGGCTATTCATAAAGACTTAACGCATGAGACAACATATCCATCATATTGTGCACATATTTAAATTCTATAGTGAAACATACATAACAAACAGAGACGGCAATTTAAGAACACAGAACGAATATAGCATAGGTACAGTTTCCAAAAACTTAAATGTACATGTAAGATTAAAAAAAAATGTGGACTCTATCCTCCTGAAGCTGATGGGATATTGCATTGATTTCAATGAGGTCAGGTTTACATTCAGGAATTCTGCAATTTTCATAAGCACCTGGGAGGCTCATGGCAAGGTAGTGAAATTTATGCATTGAGAGTAACATGAAGAGTTAAAAATGCAGGTATGCTTTGGTCATGTTCTTTTACAAATGTAATCAGCTATTAAGGGATGCTGCTCTAACACACTAGCAAGTAGACTCCATTTGTAAAAAAAATGAATTAAAATGGAAGTTGATCTTGAAACAGCATAAATTTCACTGTAGCATTTTAATTTAAGAGGAGTAAAGGATCACCATGTTTCCAATATTAACTCTTAAAGTGTGCAGACTAGCAAAATTCCAGTTTCTGGGATGCTAAAGGGAACAAGGGGGATAAATCACACAGCATTTAAGTCATCTCATCTCCACATAAGTGACTACAGCAACTATATAATGAAGACTTTATTTTTACTACCTGCTCATTACTTTTGATTTCTGAACCTCTGCCTCCACAAAGGTTATCTTCATTATTATTTGCACTCATCACACCGTTGCTTAATTCTGGTGGCCTAATTAGGTTTGATCCATGTCTGGTCCCACTGGGTTTTGTTGTTAACACTGAATCCATCTTGTTAAAATGTGGTACATAATTTTCATTTGACCCCTGAAAAGTTTCAGAACAGTCTTCCAACACCATGTAGTTGTCTAACATTTTTGCTCCAGCAATTGACTGATTTGGGCCTTTTAGCATATCACCTAGTTTCAGCACTTCAGAGGTAGCACCAGAAGAGTCTTCTTTGTGACCAGATGAAGAAAAATTCATCTTTTTACCATTGATAAGTGACATATGTCCGTCTAGATTCAAGCCAGACACTTGTGTGCATACACATGGCGCTTCTAAATGATGATCATCAACTTGGTGATTCTTTGATTCTGTTTCTGGTGGACTACTGACAGCCAATGAATTGAGATTTCCCTTTGAAAAAGCAACCTCATTATTATTGTCTAGAGGTAGTGACTCTTGTGTTACAAAGTGATTTTTCCTATCTAGTGGTCCACTGTTGGATACAGAAGTAAAAAAGTTATTTGTATCTGTAAGTTCGAGCGGTAGCTTTGGAAAGGTTTTCATTTTTCTCAAAGAACCTTTCTTAAAAAGACCATCTCTCTCCAGGTCAATAACACATGATTTTATGTCCAAAGCAACACTAGCAAAACTGTCAGTATACACTGCATGTTTGTCCTCTTCTTTGCTCTTTTCAGTTTGAGTTGCAAGTTGAGAATGTTGAGTTTTCTCATTATCCAGATCAATTTGCATTTCCTTTAAACGACTTTCTCTGCCAGTCACCATGGTAACTACAGAAGAGTTGTTATGACAGGCAGTCGTCACCTCTTCCACTGCAGACGAATCACCTACAATGTTGCTTTTCTCATTTGAATATAATTTAGATCCCAAACTTCTCTGACACATTCTTCCCTTCCACATGTTATCACAGACATCTAGATACAAAAACAAAATGTGTATTTAAAACTTCTAATCTCTCGTTGTAAATCTTTCTATTGCTTTTTCTGTCATTGCTGTTACATATCTTTAGTATGTTACACAAATTCTCAATTTCTGAACAAAACACTTTGAATCATAAGAGACAATTTAAACATGTTATGTTAATTAAGAGTTGCTTGCTCCTGTTTCCCCATCACCAATCTACAAATATTTAATAATGATTTGTTGTAATCTAGAAAGGAACCTATAACAGGAGATCATACAAACACTGTCTTTGAAAAAGCATTAGATATGTCAGGCAACCTAAAGTTTTAGACTAAATACATTTTAAGGTTACCTTGAGAAGCACCGAATGATTCAATTGAAAGAACTCTTCTTCCAACAGCAGACAAGCTTCGACAAATATTACTTGATGAAGCAATCTTCATTTTTTCCTCACATAATGACAAAATGCTCTAGAGAAAATTAATGTTAAATACTTATTTAATAATGAATAGATTTGTGAATTTTGACTAACATGAATGATGTTAACTCCCACAGTACATCTGAATTTATATGATGCTACAAAGGCAATCTTTTTCTCTAATTCTTTATACTGCGTGTTTCTATTATGTGGTTGAATTAATTTCTTGTTTTTACCACGGGCTATTATGAAGTCATTTAATACAATTCAAGTTTTAGCCTACAGTTAGAACATCAAGAAATACTGATAAAAATTATCTTAAATGTTATCCTTTATGAGTAACATAGTGAAAATGAAAAAAAATAGAGCGTTGACTACTTTTTAAAGCAGCCAATGCTTTGCTTGAATTTAGTGACACAAGCAGGATGATGAATGCTTTTATTACTGAAATTACATTAGAATTAAACCCTGAATCTTTAAAAATGTGCAAAATACAAGTATCTAATAATCAATATTCCCAGTTAGAGAAAGCAATCATTATCAGATCACAAGAAGCAGTACTTTGTATCTCTAATCTGCAGCCTGAGCACCATTTGATGGCATTAGCGTTGGTCTCACACATAATTAACTACAGATATTCACACATTTAAAAACCTGTCCCTTTGGGCAGGATATGGAAGAGAGCTGCCTTTCCAAATACATCCCACCATTTCCTCAGTAACTATTCCTGGATAAACTGATGAGACCTCATACAGCTCTTAGGAGATGCTCTCACTTCCCCATTAACCCACTCAACTGCTCCTCTGCTGTTGTGCATTGAAGGAAGGAATTGGCCCTGTTGGTTCATTTATGGGATTGAGGAAGGAGAGGAAAAAGGGAGACAGGCATTCAGCCATGCTGAAGTCTCAAAAAATGCCTAGAAAAGTCTAGGGGTTTTCCCTCCATATAGCTCCCACAACTATTCACCCAAGAAAGTGTCCAGTGGAAAAGGAACAGGAAAAAAACACACAGAGTGACCCTTATATATTACCCAAAACCTATTATTTTTTGGGATGATTTAAATAGTCAGCAACAGCTTTCAGGGTCTACAGACCACCTGGAGATGACAGAGTGCTATACACTCCCTCCTCTGACAAAAGTAACTGAACAGAAATAGAGCAGCTGACCAAGAAGGCTCTGTAACAGGTACAGTCTCTCCTGCTTGGGCAGTCCTCAGTCAGGGAGCCAGTATTTTTTACTTTATAAAAATGAAGCCGTTAATTCTTCTGTTGCAGCAGTCTTTCTGCAAAGTAGTGATCATAGGTGCTATACCATTTAGGATATACACTATCAGCTCAGGAAAATGAAACACCTGTGCCCTACCCACCCCTCCCCCCCCAACAAAAAAAAAAAAAAAAAAAA